AATTCCACATTACAATCTTGGCTGTTAGTATGAAGTACCAGGAAGAATCCAAGATTGGGCTCTGACTTTCAGCACACATTTTGATGAAGAAGAAGGGCAGATGGGGCACATGTGGAAACTAAAATATACTCACTCAATATATTCTCCCAGTTCTCCAAGGGCAGGTCCTACCCACATGCACTTCCCCTGCAATTTCCTCATCTCTTTTATACAGACTGGAAATGCATCAGCAGGAAACCCAGCTATATCCTGCATGGCTGGGGCTCTGGCTGGACAGCGACAAAGAGACTGTGAAGAGGCAGATGCCCAGAGCCCAGGCAGACTCTTCTGCACTGTAGCTGAATGACTTTTGAATAGCACTGACTTAAAAGAAATCTCTTCCTGCAGGTCTAATGAGCCCCCCTGGGATGCTCCCGATGTGAATGGGAATCACGACTTGACATAAATGGGAAAGATTATGTGTCAGCGGGGCTGATTTGATTCTTAATGGAGTGTTAATTTATTTGCTGTGATTTCACACATCTGCTTTGGCCACAATGCCATATTACGTTAATCCCTGAGATATTACTACACAAAGGTATATTCTCTGTATACAAGGTGGATGGGGAATGGGGAATTTGTACATGTGATTTTTTAAAGGGATACATACCCTTTTATTCAAAGGACTAGAAGGCAGAATACTTTAGATTTCTCTAATATTTGGATACACAATCTCTTGGGGTTAAGACACAGGTTGGTATTTGGGTCCATGAGAAGGCAGAATAGGTTTGAAAGAAACAGGCATTAGAGAATCCTAGACCACAAAGCAAGCCACCATACTTAGGGCTACTTCAGACTGGGAGGCTGGATAGCTATTCCCTTTGGAGATAGTTCTCTATAGATTCTGTCTAACTATGAGAACCAAAAGCATTGCCCTAAACATTTGAGCTGAGGCTTAACCATAGAGAGGGAGACACACAAGAAAAAACAAATATCACTTTGCAGCAAAGAGGAATAGGTTTCATTGTCACTTATGTTTTTTTAAGTCTCACAAGACATGTTGGGTTTGCCCCTTCAGAAGACAATTTGATGATTTCATTAGGAAACAGATGTATGTAGGCCACTGGGGAAGATAAAGCTTGGTTAATCCTAGCTGTTTGTGAATGAAATGTTGAGACTTTAACACAGAGACCAATCCCAAATCGAATGCAGTCCCTCTCAGCCACACAAATCCCAGGAGACTACAGATGCTGGTGCTTCCCAGGGGAGAGGTAGCCAGGGCTGTGATCAGCTTTCCAAGGCCACCTCTCTGATGTTGCAGCCTAAGCTTTGCATGCTCAGCACTACTCCCTGGGTTAGTTTAGCTAGTATCAGGACCATAATGGGGGGAGAGAAGAATGGAAGTGAGAACAATAGAGGCTGGTAGTTAGCAAGACCCTTCTACTGAGGGGTCCAGGCTGTCCCCAGTGTGTAAGGACTTTTACTTGGCAAAAAGAGCTCCTTTCTCCCCTCTGGTTTGAATAGGACCCACTTCTACAAAGGGAACATGTAGCTCTCCCAGGTTGAGGAATGAAGAGCCAAATTTTATTGTTATCCTACTCCTACAACAAATGGTGGTTTCCTCCATGCTAAAGACACAAAGGAAAACACCATAACACTGGCATGTCCTCGGCTCCCCAAGAATTTATGGACCAGTAGAGAAGAGGTCAATAGATTAACCTTCATTCTTGCAACACACACAAAGTTCCTATGAGATTGCACTTACAAATATTTGATGTTGCAAAGCTCAAAGGTTCACCTGATTAAGAAGAGAATGAAGTTTTAAGCATATAGCAAATCCACACACACACACACACACACACACACACACACACACCTATGGGATTATCATCAGTAACTATATTCTACCCCTGAATTAGAATATTCAACCACATCCTTCACTACATGACTTTGCAGTTTTTCCTCCTAGATGTGGAGAATATTTTTCTGCTCTGTTAATGGAAATTACTGTTCAGTAAGACACGGATTTGCAAGGCTAACAACCCAGGGATTATTCTCCTTTAAATGCTTGCAGGTGGCTATATCCCCATGATCCAAACCACTTTAATTTCTCGCCCCCCCCCCTTTTTTTTTGTCCTCAAAGGTAACATTCTTCATCCATTTAAATTATCTTGATCTTCTTCTCTTAGTATCGCTTCTTAGTATCACTTCCTTCATAGCTTTTTCCTTTGCAACTTGTAGATACTTTTGGCAACTCACCTAAACTCTGGGTGAGTGTTAACGTCTATGAAAACAGGATGGAATTTTCTGATTTCTAGGATTCATTCCTGCTGTGACTTTTACTTATTCACGGAAGTAAAAGTTCTCAAAATTTTATTGTTATCAGAGCCAGTGATGAGAACTTATTAATAATGCAGTTACTTAAACATCACTTAGAGTTTAATTTAGTACACATGAGATGGGAACGGAGCCTCTGTATGTTTAATGAACACATCCTAATGCACATTCTAATGCACACTGAAGTTTATTCTATGAGTCTATTGTTTTTCATCCAAAGCCATTACTTTAATATAATAGAATGAGTTACTAAATAGGAGCTTATGGAAAGAACTTCTTTGCTGATTTAAATGGGAATCTCAGAGGAGACTTGAAACAGAATCTAGGGAAATGAAATAGTGTATTAAGGAAACTCAGAGCTCTACACAAAAATTTTGTATTTCATGTGGCACTATCAGGGCAAATTATTAGTTGAAAATAGAATTGGCAGGGCTCAAAAAAGGAAGCACAATTTTAAAAAAATGAAAGTAGTTAACAGTTTTGAAAGTATGGTGTTTAGAAAAAGGGTTTTTATCTTAAAAACTGGCTACCTAGTCAAATAGATAAGTCAAACTGCAGGTTCTGTGTACAGGTGTTTTTGTGTGTTTATACACCTATGATGTATATATGTGTGTTCATATGTTGAATCTACATGGCATATTAAAATATAGTTCAACATATTAAATCAATACTGACAATTCAGTCATAGCCAGTGCTTAAAAGTTGCACTGTGAGAATATTTAAAGTATATTTTCTCTAATCTGTCTTTAGGACTACTATCTTTTTTTTTTTTTTTTTTTTTTTTTTAAGAAAGAGGGAGAGAGAGGGAGAGAGAGAGAGAGAATTTTAATATTTGGCGGACACAACATCTTTGTTTGTATGTGGTGCTGAGGATCGAACCTGGGCCGAACGCATGCCAGGCCAGCACGCTACCGCTTGAGCCACATCCCCAGCCCAGGACTACTATCTTTCAGGGTTTGGAAAAGCGGAAATACAGAGACTGAGTTGTCAGCTTATTATGGTACATTTCAAGATGTTAAACAGCCCTCCTTTGGGACTTTCTTACTCATTCTCTTGTCTGAGATTCTTAACTCCAAAAGTGTCCGCCAGAAAAGGAGCAAATACAGACACCCGGGCCGAGGAAAAAGAAAGAAATTTAGGAAAACATACCAGATGCGAGTAGGAGGATCACTATTCCCTCCATAAGCCAAGTGAATAAGATACCCATTTATCTCCATCCTTGAGTCTCCTCCCTACCCAGAAGGAAACAGGAATATCTGCCTTTGTCCTAATGTTCCATTTACACCTTATACCTTTCTCCATCTTGGGGAGACTCTTTTACTCTTCCAGTGAAAAGCTGCTTCCTTGGGGATAAAGATGTCAGCCCTAGGAGAAGACCCAGTGGTCCCTATGGCACTGAAGCTTGGGTTAGATCTTTAAACACCACTCATGTGAAGTGCACTGTGAGTGGGCTCAAGCCCCTAAACATCATTTATGTGGAAGTGCCCTGTGAGTGGGCTCAAGCCCCTACCCTCCAGCATCCTCCTTGTGTCTGGGCCACCAACTACCCAACCACCTTGGCTGTTTTAGAATTGAAAGCTCACCATGGTGTGGCTTATGTAACACACATATGTGCTATGATCCCTGTGGATAATTAAGGCTGCATTCTATGCCTAAGATGAGTTAGCAAGCCTTTCACAGTTGTATTTTTAAAAGGATGATAACTACTTACCCATTGTGCTTTTGGTACATTTCTATGAAACACTCTAAACTATGGGGCATTTAGATGAAACATTCTCTTCTAAAACTGACCTCTGCGCTGATTAGCAGCCTGGTGTCATTGTTTCAACTCTAGTGACCAATTAAGTAGTTGCTCTAGACAGAAGTGACAACAAAATGTAAATTTAAAAACAGAAACCCAGATTGCTTGTGAGGGAAGAAAGCCAAGGCTGGGTAAGAAAAGTCGGGGGTGGGTGAGGTTGTGAGCCATATTTTTGCTAGCGGAATACTGGGTCTCCTTAAATTGAGAATAGACCACATTGTCCAGAAGAGTACCCCTCCTCCCATTAGTAAAATAAAAACAGCAGAATATCTGGGTTTGTGCTGGGAGAAGTGAGACTTTTAACCATGGCCACCCCACCAGTAGCCTGGGCGCGGGCTTTGACCCAGACCCTCATTCTCACAGTCCGCTTCACACCTGCTTTTCAGTCTAAATGGACTCTCATCCTGTTTTCCTCACCCCAGCATCAGATCCACGGAGTCTCAAAACCACAGACTCACTCTCAGCAAAGCTGTCCTCTCCAAGAGATTTTAAAACGCCCCCCCCCCCCCCCGCAAGCAGTGTCTCCATCTAGAAAAGGAATTTCAGTTGTCTCCCTGAAGGCAAAAGCGAAAGGCGACGGATGCACCGAGAAGATAAACTACCTACTCACGCCCCTCCCCACTCACCCACGCGTCTGCTCCGGGCTTCCCCTCCTTCTGCAGGGGGCTGGCGGTCAGGTGAGGTTACCTGGGCGCCCCAAAAAGCCCCAAGGGGCGCTGCAGTTCTTCCTTTCGGAGTCGCCCTACTCCCTGCCAGGCCCCAGGACTCTAGCCCCTCTCCCCCCGCGCGCGTCCCCGACCCCTCGGGCTCCGGCGCGCAGCGACAGCAGCACGCAGCGCTCGGCTCCCCTCCGCCGACCTGGCGTGACGCAGGCAGAGACTACTTAAGGGCGGATTAGAGGCGGCGGCCGCGGATTCCCCAGCTCAGCAGCTAGCTCGGCGTGCACCGCCCGGGCATAGCAGGCAGCAGCGCGGGAGCGTCAGGTGCCCGCTGAAGTGGCAGGCGCTGGGGCTAGTGCCGGGACCCTTCCCCAACCCCCACCTTCCGGCGGAGAGCGGCGCCGGGAGACCCCAGCCTGGCTGGCGGGAGCTCTGGGACCTTCACGCAATCAACACCGCCCCGCCCCTCTCCCCGGCAACTGCGGAATCCGAACGCGATCCCCGGACGGCGCCGGTTCGTGCCAGCTCTCTGGACCGCGCTAGCTGCCCCCACCGGTCCGGACGCGCGTGGATTTCTTTCCCCGTTTCCCTCTTTTAAGTATAATAAAAGGGAGGGGAAATTCGTGGATTTTTAAAAAATTTGTTTGCTTCTTTAATCGGGGGGCAATTCGCTCCCAGTTGGGAGGTGCGGCCCGGGGAGGGGCCAGGAGCGGGAACGTGCCCGGTGCTGCCCAGTCTTTGTCTGCTGCCCCCGGATGCACAGCGATGGGGGAATGGACCATCTTGGAGAGGCTGCTGGAAGCCGCGGTGCAGCAGCACTCCACTATGATCGGGAGGTAAGGGCGCCAAGCCAGCCGTCAGTGGGCCCTTCAGCGAGCCCGTCGGTGGCCCTCGGGAATACCTTCTCACTTCCGGGCCGACCCCCTTCCCGAGTCCCCAGCCCGCCCTCTGCCTCCTCCCCATCATGTTGGGTCAATGCTTCTATTCCTCCCGAGTTGAGGGATTACCCGACGCCCAGTGACGCCCCCCTTCTCCTGCTACTCCTGAGCAGCTTCCCCATCCCTTCCCTGTGAGGCACCACTGGGGGAGGGGGAGTTCACTGTTCCCACATCAGAAAAGGAGTTTTTGGCTCAATCTTTGCCCCCCACTTTCCAGAGTCAGAGCCAATCTCTATCCAGTTCCCTAAATAGAATGTACAAAGAAGGCAGGATTGCATTTGGCCAGAGAAGGGCAAATGGAGAGATGGATTTGCAGAGCAGATGGATCTTTTTCAGCAAATATTTATTAAGCTAAACTTACTTGTCTTTGAAAACTTATAGTGTCAGGAATCCACACACCCAATTGGCATTTTTGTGAGTCTATATCTATGTATGTTTCTGTCTGTGCATATATGAATATGTGTTCCTAGCTGCCTGTTTCTGTAAGCATTAAATTCAATATTTATATTAAGAATAGATTAAATTTACACACAGAGTAGTTCTATACACATCCTGTGTGTAGACTTTGAAAGCTGCACTATCTGTACAGGTATTCTGTGTGCACTTGCCATATGCAGACTAAAGGTGTGTTTTGTGTTTCTGTACATTCCAAAAATGAAATCTATAAGTTTGCAAATAAACCATGACCAGTGTATAGAGGTGTGCATGCCTGAGATCATTGTAATAAGTGTCCCCAGCCTGCTAGCACCCAGCAGAAAAGGAAGACAAAAAGCTTTCCCAGATTCCTAGTTCAGTACCACGCAGAAATGGACAGCTCCCCTGTGAAAGAACTGATAAACATGCGAACGGGGAAGGGAAGAATGGGGTTTCCCCGTCAGTGATGCAGCCCGTGAGAACCTCTCTCCCTCCCTCTTCCCCTGCTCAGGATCCTGTTGACTGTGGTGGTGATCTTCCGGATCCTCATTGTGGCCATTGTAGGGGAGACGGTGTACGATGATGAGCAGACCATGTTTGTGTGCAACACCCTGCAGCCCGGCTGTAACCAGGCCTGCTATGACCGCGCCTTCCCCATCTCCCACATACGTTACTGGGTCTTCCAGATCATAATGGTGTGCACCCCCAGTCTCTGCTTCATCACATATTCTGTGCACCAGTCTGCCAAGCAGCGAGAACGTCGGTACTCTACTGTCTTCCTAGCCCTGGACAGAGATCCTCCTGAGTCCATGGGGGGTCCTGGAGGAACTGGGGGTGGGGTCAGTGGTGGGGGAAAGAGAGAAGATAAGAAGTTGCAAAATGCCATTGTCAATGGGGTGCTGCAGAACACAGAGAACACCAGCAAGGAGACGGAGCCAGATTGTTTAGAGGTTAAGGAGTTGACTCCACATCCATCAGGGCTGCGCACTGCAGCAAGATCCAAGCTTCGAAGACAGGAAGGCATCTCCCGCTTCTACATTATCCAAGTGGTGTTCCGAAATGCCCTGGAGATTGGGTTCCTGGTGGGCCAATACTTTCTCTATGGCTTTAGTGTCCCAGGGTTGTATGAGTGTAACCGCTACCCCTGCATCAAGGAAGTGGAATGCTATGTGTCTCGGCCCACTGAGAAGACAGTCTTTCTAGTGTTCATGTTTGCTGTGAGTGGCATCTGTGTTGTGCTCAACCTGGCTGAACTCAACCACCTGGGATGGCGCAAGATCAAGCTGGCTGTTCGAGGGGCTCAGGCCAAGAGGAAGTCAGTCTATGAGATCCGTAACAAGGACCTGCCCAGGGTCAGTGTTCCCAATTTTGGCAGGACTCAATCCAGTGACTCTGCCTATGTGTGAAAGGGCAGGTATTAGGAAGGCTAAAGGGTTACAAGTTGCCACAAGACAGATAACTGCTCAAGGTTGGATATATCTGCCCTCATATGTAAGATGTAGGATAAAGCTGGTTAACAGAAGATCTTGCATCAAAAGGAGAGGAGAAAAAGCAGAAGCGTTATCACATCATCATTAGCACTGGTTCCACATAGGCACTTGGGTAGGGTGATGAATGGATGAGTTGGGTTTCTTTGGGACCTTTCATTCTATGGCCCTTCATGATCCCGATAACGGTGGACTTGCACAGCTACTGAATAGGACTTAGCTCTGCTGAGCTCCATTCTGGTGAATGGCATGAGTTAAACTTTGTGACCTATCTCAACATATCCCTTTATCCTGGGCTGCAGGACAAATATCCTGGAAGATCCTTCATGTATCTCCCCTATCCATCAGCATGCCCCTTTTCCTCAACCCAGGATAGCATGCCAGCTTTTTTTCTGAACCTGGCCTTACATTAGACCTAATATGGTTTATCTGCAAGCTAGAGGGAATTACATGGGGTGCTTTTTTGGAAACTGGCCATGGCAGAGGTTTTCACTAGAGCCCAACTGATTGGCTCTTAGTCATTATGAAAACCTTAGGAATGTCTCAATATTTCCAATTTTCTAACTCAAATTGCACTGGTGCTGTTTATTAGGGGTGGGGGATGGGCGGGCGGGTGGGAATTGCAATATGCAACTACAACACTTTTGTGAGATGGTTGTTGCACGGTAAGGCATGTGTTTATGAGCTTTGGGATACTTCTGCCTTCCAGCTTGTGGACTTTAGGTAGCAGTAAAAGTATTTGTTGTTGTTAATATTGATGGTGTCTACCCAAACCACATAATTTCTAACTAGTGTATCTTACCCATTTTCTTACATAGTTTTGTTGTGCAATGCAGATGCACATCATTTTGCCATGGTTTCAATTTACCTGTGTGCTCACACCAGAGACCTTAATCAGTCCGTGTCAATCCCAACTTATTATTTTATCACTTATTTTTGAAACACACACACCTACATAATCCCTCGGCCTAAAATACCTGAAACTAAACACTATTGGCTAACACGTGTTTACGGATGCTTATTTGAGACATATACCAAAGGTTCTGAAACCTATTGCTTTGGACTGTGAATATGTTTCTTTCTCTTTGCTCTTATTTATTTAAGTGCCATACTGTACCTTTCACATCCACTGTGTATTTGGTTAAAGCATTGGCCAAGAGTAATATTTGGATAACGTGCTTTGAAGAAGCCCACTGTTTCCTTTGAATTATCATTATCATTTTTGATTTAGATATGGACATGGTGTAATATACAACTGAGGATTTGTTTAAAATAAAGTTCTTGCCTTTTTTTGTAAAATGGGAAGAGTCTGCACTTTCCTATTTTTAATTGGGGTTCTATTAATTCAGAAGTTCAAAGATGTTTCAACAGAACTTTGGAGGCAGGAAGTGAGCAAAGGATGAAGAATCCCTGAGAGATGAACAATAAAATCCAATCAGCCTCTAGCAGATGAAGATAAGCTGGTGTGTTTTATGAAATGTTTAGGAAGGAGGAGTGTGGTATTCAAGTAGCAATGTTTATAAATTCCTTTATACTTTAAGCTCAAAATTTTTCTGCTTATCTTTTTCTTGTAATATAAATGCCAATACTGAACCATAGAAGCTCATTCTAGGAGTGGATTTTTTTTTCTTTTTCAACCTTGTTTTTCCTGCCATGGATGGTTACATTTGACAGGCATACTGTGCTTCTGATGATTTCCTCAGGACCTGATGTTTTAACATGATGCTAACCCAGTAGTCAAACAGAACCATCTTAGGCCAGCAGTGTCCAGTACAATTTTCTGCAGAGATGGAAATTTCTTCCATCTGTGCTGTCTAATATGGCAACAACTAGCCACATGAGACTATTGAGCTTCTAAAATGTGGCTAGTGCAACTGAAGTAGTCAATTTCTATTTAATTTTAATTAATTTATATGCCATGTATAATTAGTTGCTGCTGTCTTACACAATATAGTACTAGATTTTTAATGAATCATATCATTTTGGGTTTAACAAAAAGGATTGGTCTTTTGCTTATATGTCATAAGATCTCACTAGCTACTCCATTTTTTTGGTATTTTCTCTACATGTGGTCCCATTAGTTTAGTAGGCTGATGTTATTTCTCTGTTCGTGTTACTCACCATCTGATTCCAATGAGCACTTTATTTGAACATTACAAAGCAAAACAGAATTTCCTAGATGATTGTTTTTCAAACACAATTGTTGCACCTTTTAACTACGGCAGCACAGATGCCAGTTTTAGAAGGAAAATTTGTTTATTGCAATCTATAGGTTTCCATCTGCAATATAAATAAGCAGTTGAAGAAGATTCTCTCTGCACAAAGAAAGAGATCCTTCTCTGTCTTGTGTTTGGTAAGCTAAAAATGTTTCAAGACACCTCCCAGAAATGGAGGAAGAGTGTCGCCTGAGAGCTCTTAGCATATGCTTGGGTGTGAAAGAAACAGGAATCTGTGTGGAAAACAAGGTCTGTTGTATTTATGCCTTGATATAGGATTAAATGAACAGTAGTGCTTCCTGGTGGAAATGCAACCCATATCAGTGGGGCTGATCTATTTCAGTTGTTGATGTTTTTGAACATCCATGAACAGCAAGATTATGAATTCTTGTGTCAGACACAAAGAAGGGAACATAACTCTCAGTACCTAGCATCATCCTTCAGAGAGTCTTTTGCTTTCTATCTAATAAAGAAAACATCCTAGTGATTTGCTGGTTCACACAGCTGTGTGATGGATGTGACCTTAATCTATATTTTGTGACAGTATAGCACGGATATATTATTTTAAATTTAAGGGCCTTTTGGTAAACTGCAGGACTTCTTGGCCCACCATGTGTGTGTGTGTGTGTGTGTGTGTGGTGGGTGTATATTGATAAAGTAATGGGTGTCAGTATATGAACTTGGTTTAAAATTTGGAAAATAGCCTGAAGGGACTGAAATTATTCATCTTGAGGTGGTGGGGGGAGTTGAAAGTGCAGAATTTGTAATTTGTAAGTTCTCAAATATTTTAAGGGTTAAAAATACATGGGATAACAGCTGCACCCTCTATGACTTCTGTGGACACAGGGCAATGACTAGACTTAAAATCGAGAGGTGGTTAGAAAAGCACCAAAGAGAGTTTGGTTTCTTTTTTTCCTCAGTTTTTGTTACCTTTGGGGTTGTCTGGGGTGTTTTCCGTGAGGAATACCCGCCTCACCATCTCCTTTCACCGGGAGTGTTCCTCTTTACCCATGGGAAATCAATTTGAATGCCATTCACACAGGAGCCTTTTCTAAACTTGGTAGACTGGCTTAGTGCCCCTGCCCTGATCCTTAGAAAGTCACTTTGTCACTTGCTGCTTGGAAATGAGATGTTTCTGGATCAGGTTGTGGGTCCTTAGGAACAGAAACTGTGCCTAACCTCTTGTAACCACATAGGACATTTGCAACCAGAGAGATGGTGGCCTCAGTCTTCCATATGGGAATTGTTTTATTTATTTATTTATTTGGTACTGGAGATTGAATTCAGGGTCACTTCACCACTAAGCCACATCCCCAGCTCTTTTTTTGTGTTTTATTTAGAGACAGGGCCTCGCTGAGTTGCTTAGGTCCTGCTAAGTTGCTGAAGCTGACTTTGAACTAGTGATCCTCCTGCCTTAGCCTCCAGTGCCACTGGAATTACAGGCATGTGCCACTATGCCAGGCTGGGAATGATCCTACAGACTCAAAATATGAAAGCTAAACACGTCCTGTGAAGACATTAAAGCAAGCCTTTTATTGTACAGTTGGGGAAACCAAAAGACCAAAACTGCATTTCTTGGAAAATGGTATAAATATTCATCTTGGAGATTGGAATACTTAGGAAACATCACTTTATTAAATATATTAATTTACTAGGGCTGCTATAACAGACTGCCACAGAAAGAGTGCTTTAAACAACAGAAATATATAATCTCATGGTTCCAGAGGCTGGAAGTCCAAGTGAAGGTGCCGCCTGGCTTGGCTCATTTTGAGACCTCTCATTGGCTTGCCTTTGTCTGCCTTCTTGCATGGTCTTTCCTTTGTGAATGTGCATCCCTAATAGCACCTGTGTATCCAAATTTCCTTTTTTTATGAGGAAACTAGTCAGATTGGATTAAGCCTTCACTGCTAATTCAATCATCTCATTTTAAATTAATCACTTCTTTAGAGGGTCTGTTTCCCAGATAAAGTCGCATTCTGAGGTACGGGTATTAGACTTTAACATGAATTTTGTAAGGACACAGTTCAATCCACAACAGTAAGTGTTTACATTCAAGTGGTACTCTTATGATTGGGAGGATTCTGTAATTTATTATATAAAATGAGATAACTCTGAGAATGAGAGATACAGCGTAGCTAATTGAATGGAACACAAGAACAATGGGTATAAAAATTGGTTTGTCCTGAGCAACCAAATTGTGTGGATACCTTAAGAACATCAACAGCCACCGAGCTCCAGCTCCAGGGCCTGCAACTTGGGAGATACAGGGATACTATCACCCAAGTCTTAGCTCTTGAGAAGCCTATGAAATGCAAATTCTCAGACAAAAATATCAAATTTATGTTAGTAATGATGGGCAAATAGTGTTAAAATGTACTAATAGTTTGCTTCACTCCTGACCATTTCCATTAGAAGGTCAAATGCTACAGGCTAGGCATCAGTACTTTCAATTTCCCCATTCCTAGGGTTGATAACAAGTGAATCAGAAATATTGGCATAAGATTAGGAGAATCTAGATTTTCTTTTCTGGAGGGGGGTACCAGAGATTGAAATCAGGGGCACTCGACCACTGACCCACAACCCCAGCCCTATTTTGTATTTTATTTAGAGAAAGGGTCTCACTGGGTTGCTTAGTGCATTGTTTTTGCTGAGGCTGGCTTTGAACTCGCGATCCTCCTGCCTCAGCCTCTGGAGCTGCTGGGATTATAGGCATGCGCCAAGGTGCCCCACTGAGAATCAGGTTTTTGAATGAGAAATTATAAAAGGAGGGAAAGGGGAGTGTGAGGCTCCCATGACAGAGCTGCCCTTGCTTAAGTTGTGTTTAAGGTTAGTGAGGAGAAACTGTAGTTGGAGACCAACAGCGATTTTCAGGACATGGAGTGGGAGCCATAGTGATAGTTGAGACTACCTGGAGCTTGCGATAGACAGAGGAGGAGCCCAGGATGGAAGCTGAAGAGAGCTAACTTGTACAGGAAAGTTGGAAAGTGGTGTCATAAATTTAAGGGAGGTGGAATCCCAAGGAAGAAGTTCTGTTATTAGCATGCAATTTTATTTTAATAGATGCAATTTTATTTAGATAGATGAAAAACTAGGCAAAGGACCCCAAAACACCACTGGATTTGGTGAGTGAGAATGTAGAACCAGTGAGTGAGCACAAATTATCCATTCATTGCCTTATTTACTTCCAGACCTTTAGTAGGATAGATGGAAACCATTAAAATGGGAGCAAACAAAGGGGAAATTATCAATCCCACCATGGCCAGTACCCTGAGAGTCAGCCAGGCATGGCTTGCCAGCTTTGTGAACACACAGAGGTTATGTTCATTTAGAAGATTGCTACATTCCAGAGAGGTTGTGTGTTAGCTAAACAGA